TAGTCGATCGTTTGCTTGGCGGTGTGTGATGAGGCGTTGTTGTGGTTAAGGAGGATTCTATTGCGAGGTCATTTCTCCCAAACTTTTCCAAGAGAAGTGGCAAACAATTGTTAGTGTACCACTCTGCAGTAACTGTTTTTCGATCCTCTAAAACAATTGTGGCGTGTGGCGGCGCTGTCGTCGTGCCACAAGCGAAACAAATCGCGCTAACAAAGTTCCGAAGTTAAAAGCGGTATATATATAGTAAAGTAAAATATACTTTATTGTACACCAAGGAACATATTACAGTATTTATAAATTTAAAGAGACATTGGTACAACAGGCGGCCTTATCGCTAAAACAGCGATCTCTTCCAGGCAACCTTAGGGCAGAGGATACTGTTACGGCCTACGGCTGCTCCCTTAAAGGGTCAAACCCTCAGGGGCCCATGAGCTGAAGACTTCCCGAGCAGACGTAGGTCGGGCCTCAATGTGGCCACGTGGAAATTTCTAATTACAATAAACCAGGTGGGAGGACGTTAGAAAGACATAGTACTTATCATTATCCGAAGCTAACTTCGCACTAAGGCTTGGGCAGGCCGTGAGTGTGTGTAATAGTGGATGGCGAGTAGTGTACAGTGAGGTGTGAATGTCAAGCATAGGCGACCAGCCGCGGCCGAGTTCCAGGCTGCTCCAAAATGCTGCACCGCTTCAGACTGCTTCGGCGCCGGACCACAATCACTTTCCTCTTTCGTCACGATGACAGTCAATTAACTCTATCGTGCAATTAACTAACTTACAGAAGCCACTAACTATCGCGGGGTATAAGGTTACCGCACAAAACGCCCACGGAGCTTCTGGACCAAAGGTCGCTACCGTTTCGCGTTGCAACAGTTAGTTCTAGAATATCAGAGGCCGCACTAGCTAATATTGTCGAATGCACTTATACAGATTCTGAGTCGGACCCAATAAGTCCCGGGAAGCTCTCCAGCAGGAATGCGCGTCACAAAATCCTAGACCGTATATTTACGGGCCGCACCTAATTATTCCGAGTTCCCTAACAGAATGACAGAGTGCCAATCGTGAGCACTGCCTAAGGACGACTGACTGCCCTTGTGCGTTTTTCGCACGACCGAAAGTCAAACCGGTATGAATGCACCGCGCCGAGCGCCCTCTCGCGTCAATCCTTGAAAGTGTTTGGCGCGAACAGATACTATTTTTAAAAGGTAGCGGAAGGGGTGTACAGAATATAATATAGAAAGATAAAGAAAGAAGAAAGAAAAAGTGAATGACGACAAGTAGTAACTTAAGGGGAAAGGTAATAAAGTTTTAATTTATTTTTAAATATAGGAAGAGATTTAGATTCTTTAATATGTAAGGGGAGAGAATTCCATAGTCGTATAACGGTAACCGTAATTAGAATAGAAGAAAGAGGAATGTCTAGGAGTACTTAGAAGGAGATTATTTTGAGATCGTAGAGGTAGAGAGTGTAAACTACTTAAATGTATAAATCGGTCTTTCAAATAAGAAGGAGTGGTCGGATTGAACAGAATGCAGTAAAGAAGATGAAGAATGTGAGTATTCCTGCGAAGGCGAATCGGTAACCACTTGAGCTTATGGCGGAATTCGGATATGAGGTCATACTTTCGTAACCCAAATATAAACCTTATGCAATAATTTTGAAGCCGCTCAAGTTTATTAAGTTGCTCGACTGTTAGGTCAAGATAACAAGTGTCCGCGTAGTCAAGGATCGGTAAAAGAAGAGATTAAGCCAGCGCAACTTATATAGAATAGCTCTGAACTACAACACGGAGCGTTGGCCACTCCCAGGGCAGAACACTGTAGCCGGTGGAATAAAAAGGGGAGATCTAATGACCATTCCTTCCGAAGAACGAGGCCACCATCTTTTTTCCCACGCTTCAACCTCTCTTCACTTTAGTTGGCAACTCCTCGAAAGGAAACACCCAGACAACAGACTATCTCTTAGTTTCAGGATCATAACAATAAATCCTGCTTTCGTCACTCGTAATTACGTCGAACACAGCATTTGAGTCATCTCCGTTAAATCTTTGACCTATTTCACGACACCAATCAACACGATGGCGTTTTTGGGTCTCTTTCAAATTATGAAGTATCCACCGGGAACAAAGCTTCCTGACCACTAAGTGTTCATGAAGGATTTTGTGCACTTGACTCATACCGATGCCTAAGCTTCTCCGAATCTGCTGATAAGTCACTCTTTTGTCAGTATCTATCATACGACGCACAAAACTGATGTTATCTTCAGTCGTCGCCGTAGAAATCCGTCCGTCACGCAGATCATCAGTGAGATTAGTGCGACCACGTTTAAACTCATTAAACCAGTTGTAAACAGTGGCACGAGATGGGGCTTCATTGTTAAAGGCCAACCGAAGTCTATCATAACTTTCTTAATGGCTTAAATGACATCGAAATTCATAAAAAATCATTGTACAATTTTCAATTTGCTGCCAAATCATAAACAATTGATAAATTAATAAAATACATACACAATAATATTGTCAAGGGGTTCCATTTTCAAAATTTGTACTTATTTTTTTATTATATCGATTACAAGTGGCCAGTTCTAAAAATTTTCAGTGTCGCCCTAGTATTTGTCAATGACGTTATAAGTTGTATTCCTTATTCGAAAGTTTTGCTATACGCTGATGATACCAACATTTCTATTACAGTGAAATCTAATAAAGATTGTCTTGATTTAATTTTTTTTTAAATATAAGTATATATTGTATATTATTATCTCATATTGTAGGAAAAAAACAACTTCTATCATTTATTATATAATTTGAATTAATAATATATACCTAAAAATGGGTTACTTAGGTGAGAGATCTTTTTTTATAGGATAGGGTGACAAACCCACCCACATGTGATGTGATCCATAGATACCTACGCCTATTCTCACATGTGACCCATACAAATCTACATCTATCCTCAATAAAGAATCAAAGTGAGGACTAAGATGGAATACCTCTTTTCCAGTAAAAAGGCTCTCCAGTTCTCTACACTCACCATACGAAACACAGCAGTATTAAGCTGCTATTTACGCTGTTATTCTGTGAGAGCGTAGTCCTTCTCCGGTCGAGCCGAACCATTCGTACGCGTACTACAACTATACTACTAATATAGCAGCAGCATGGCTCTACCACGTATAAAGGTGATCTAAATTTAGGTGTTTAATACTATACTTGATCTATGTAATAACTGACTATAAAACGTCAGTTATTATATAGTTCACATATTGACATAACTGCAGTCAAAGTTTTTAAAATGTTAGGTTTCTTGTTTTAAAAAAACAGTTGATATTAAAAAATATCTACCTTTGTAACTCTATATAGTTCTCTAGTCAGATCTTATCTTGAGTACGTTTATACCGTGTGAAATCCACAATTTCGAATTTATTAGGACGCCCCGCAACGTAAGTATCTTATCTAGAAACCAGATATTAACACCGTGATATTACCTTTTTCTACAAAATTCTTAATTATTATAATGATTCCCCATACTTATTGAGTAAAATAACATTGAAGTGCCCTAGGATTAATCTGCGGCTTAACTTCAAATCTACCCTTTACATTCCTGCTTGTAAAACTAACTATGCAAGAAATCGATTTATTGTTAGAGCCTGTAATTGCACACACTTATAATTTATTTACATAGTCCCTAGGCTTAAACAGTTTCTTTCATTATCAGACTGTTTTATTACCTTTAAAATGTCACATAAAAAATTGTACTCGTATGTATGTATGTATGTATTGTATCAGTATTTTTGTCCAATGATCAATTATGTTATTATTAGTTAGTGATAACTTAACTGGCTTTTGAAATAACTCAACTATCTATTATGCATTAAAATAGCTGTATGTTTTCCTTAAAATAAAGAAAAGAAAAAAAAAAGAAAAATAAACACATAAAATTTATCAATTAAAATTAATAACACGATTTGCAAGAGTGGTTCTAAAGTATGGAAAGGAACAGAGACTTTTATAGCATTACTTTATAACGCAAAAATGCCAAAAGAATTGTTTATTCTTCTTCTCTATTATCATATTGACGGCTCCGTGGCGCAGTGGTTTAGCAATGAGTTGCTGCGCTGGGGGGCGCGGGTTCGAATCCTGCACGCAACAAGTATTTGTATGGCCTACAAATAATTGTTCCGGGTTTGGATGTTTGTACTTGTGCAATTCGTGTATGTAAACTGCCTCCTTGATACAGGAGAAAATCCTAGTGTGGGGGTAACGTTTTTTTTTTAAATATTCCCGTAAACGTCTATCATCCCCATGTATACTATAAGACATGGGGACCTCTTCCACTGTCACGGTTGGCAGACAGATTGATTGACGATGGCAACACAAGACGTCTCGCCATTGACATAACCGTTTTGAATGAAACGCTATATATTGAAAGCCATTAGATTTTCTGGCGTTTCTCATAGTCACCCACACCCTCGAGATGTAGGGGAGTGGTGGATTCATTTACACCGCTACTATATGGCAAACGAATTGAAAAGAAAGAAACGATAACGAGCAAAGGAGGGAACGCTTCTTATTTATGTTTTTATAAATTAGAGTAATCTGCGGTGTTGGAATCATCCATGACGAAATTACTCCTAATAAATATAAAATTATCTAAGCTATTACTGTTTGAGTTGGAACAGTGGTATAGTCTATAAAATATAATCAATAGTCTCAAAAAATAAAGTTCCAAAACAAATTTCATAACAAATAAAATCAAAACAAAGTTACTAACAAAGTCGAAGTCGCGGGCACAGCTAGTTAAAAATATTACTGAGTAACAACCTGTGTTTTTAACATTGTGTCATTACAATTTGGGAAATCCATAGATAGAATTCTAAGATGTCGGTAATCACAACGGAGATTTATAAAATGGCAGATAAGAATAAATCTTATCAGGTAGTCTTAAAACTATATAAAAGCCTTCACATGCATCACCATTACACAGTCGAGACAGTACGCATCCAACATGGTTTCTGAATTCCGGAAAAAGAAATATCTTGAGGTGTTCAACACTTTTGACACCGATGGTAGTGGAACGATTGAGAAGAAAGACTTCGAGATGTCAGCAGAGATGCTGGCAAAATGTATGAGCGGGAAGGTTGATGAAGCGAAACACAAAGAATACCTTAACACGGTGCTGAAAATCTGGGACGGAATACAAAGCCAAGCTGACTCGAACAAGGATGGAAAAGTATCTGCTGACGAATGGGTTGCATTATGGGACGCTTATGCAAAGAATCCATCAAGTGCACATGATTGGCAGAAATTGTATTGCAAATTCTCATTCCAACTTCTAGATACTGGAAATGATGGCTCAATTAATAGTGAAGAGTTCGTTAAAGCATACGAAGCTTGGGGTGTGAATAAAAATGACGCTGCTGATACATTCCAAAAACTGTCAAAAGGTAAGGGCAGCATTTCTTGGGCAGATTTCCAGGAGCTATGGGAGGAGTACTTCACAACTGAAGATGCCAATGCACCAGCCAACATGCTTTTCTGCACATCATAAAACTAAATTTCTTTTTACATGATTAAGATCACAGAGTGATAATTTGTTGTTAATTTAATTTATTGTTTCAGTGACACTGTATTAATTAAAGAAATATGTTTAATTACTTAATCGTTTTTCTTAAATATTCTTACTTTGTTAGTTTCCTTCTTAATCTTCTTCTTTATTAACCCATACAAGTGTACTGCTGCTTACCTAGACTTTACCTTAGAATACCAGCGTGAAATAGCAGCTCGGTGCTGCTATTTCACGCTGTGTTTTTGCTGTGTTTCGTATAGTAACTGTAGAGAACCCTATATCATTTTTACTGAAACGAATAAATTAATCATAGTCCTTAGGGGTGACAACTCAGCTGACATTCAGACATATTGATATATACAGCGCAAATCGGTCAGGAAAATAAAATATTCAAACTACGAACTATGCAAGTGAATTTTGATTTGATGGATTTTACATGGGGAGGAGTTGAGTCTTGTGGATACCACTGTTTTTCTTTGTATTACTATTGACGCGAAACTTCAATGGGGCCCCCATATATCTAAATTAGCAAGCAGACTTAGTTCTGCTGTAAGAAAGATTAGAAGTCTCACAGATGTTGAGACAGTTAGATTACAGTACTTTTATAGCGTAATGTCTTATGGAATTTTGCTATGGGGTAATGCGACTGATATTGAAGCTATATTTGTTTTGCAAAAGAGAGCCGTACGGGCGATTTATAACCTAAATTGTAAAGAGTCCCTCAGAGAAAAATTTAAAGAAATAAACATATTAACTTTGGCATCGCAACATATTTATGAGAATGTAATGTATGTGCATAAAAACATAAATAGCTTTAATAAGAATAAGGATGTGCATACTTTAAATACTAGGAACAAACATAAGCTTGTAATGCCAGTTACTAGACTCCACATAATCAGTAATTCATTTATGGAGCAATGTATACGTTTTTACAACAAAATCCCAGAACATATTCAAAGTTTGTCAATAAACAAGTTTAAAAGTTTTATTAAAGAAAAACTGTACAAAAAGGGTTATTATAATATCAGGGAATACATGAATGAAAATAACGCCTAACGAAAATAAATTGCGATATCTTCATTTAACATAATGTTATTAATGTCCTAACAAACAACGATTTTTATAAGCACTACGTGTTCAGTGATGTGTGTAAGCAACGATAACGAAGTCGCAGGTATCTAGTTGGTAATAAGTTCCTACGGCTATGTTTAATTATCCGTACTTTACTTATTATGTTACCATTACAGCCTATTAAAAGCCCACTGCTGAACATAGGCATCCCACATAGATTGCCTTTTAAGGGATATTTGTCGTATTTGAAGCGCTCGGCAGGTGGGTTGGCAACCACAGTTTTTTATTTTTAGCTGTTATTAGGAAGCCGTTGCTGCCCACCTCCTAGTTTATTTCCCTCTGTCGCCTCTTAAGTCACCTACGGGATGATATGGGGTAGTGAATATTCTTACGCCGCCATTACACAGTCACTTATTATGTAAAGTGAAGTAAACTTACAACCTATATAGCTTAGCGGTTAAGAAGCACCTGCCGTAAAGGAGATGAACTTGATTCCATACAAGCTTGGGCCCGGTGTGAACAAACTTAAAATATGTGTTAGTTTGAAGATTTAAATATTTGCAACTTATATCCAAAAATCATATTTTTGCCGGGCCTGGGGTTTTTTGTTTTTATATTGTTTTATGATTTGTAGGTTATGTAGTAAAATCACTCGTTCTTGTGATAGGTTGTTTGAATAAATTGAAAAAACACAAAAGAATGCAGTTTTGTAGTTATTATTATATAAAGTAAAATAAAACTCAACCTTTTTTTAATTGTTTAACTATTTTCTGCAATTATCAATAAAATGTCATCTAAAAAACAGCCGGAGGCTTTACATTGTCTGTTCTATTCCTCTCAAAACATAAGTATCACATTATTTTCATTATATGGCCGCAACACACTACTGTCCTGTGATCCGAGAGAAAATCCAAGTGTCAAGTTAAATAAATCCACGAAAGTAAAGAGACGAAATCTATCCAAAAAAAAAAACAGCTACAATATCAAATGCGCACAGAACATAATTACTCTCTACCAAGAGCAAATGCGCATGCCGCATGACAAGCTGAAACTTGAAGTTACCAAGTTAAGTCTCCTTCGGAATATGCAATGATCAATAACCATACAGCCTATTCAGTCATGTAGGATAATATTCAAATGTTTTTTGATTTAATGACATAGCCTAGTCAATCGTTTTCTAAATATATTATTTTATTCAATAATTATAATTACAGATTCACGTCAATGTTTCAATATTATGATTTTTTTGGTAAGGAAGGTTATTTTATTATAAAAATAGCCTTCATTATCTATTGCCATAGATAGAACAGAAAGATATTTAAAAACGTTTCTTTTTTGCTTAAGGAAAAGCATTAGCTTTCTATTTCAGTTTAAAAAAAATGTTTTTATGATTGTCCCAAGGACTATAGAAATAAGAACCATTTATTTATGGTTATAATTTACCGTTATATCACCTACATATTTTTATATAACTGTTACGAACGATGTCAACAACCCAATTTCATACATCTCCTTTCACAGTATACGAGCAAACCCGGTTCGAAGAACCTTTCGAAATTCTAAAAAACCTTATACGTGTAGTATTCTTCACGGTATTTTCCTTCACCGGCGAGCACGTGGTAAATTAGCACGTGAAACTCCAATTAACATTGTCGTCGGTGCTGGCGGGGATCGAATTCGGGTTGCTGGTGTACAGTAAAATTTATGGAGAGCGTTTAGCCGCCTTGCTACCGCAACTCTTACGTATTGGAGTGTGGTGTTAGTTATGGATACATTAGCGCGTGACGGACGCTTGGTAACGACTAGTTATCGATCATATACGAACTCGTAAACAAAATCGCGTGTAAGCAATATTAGCTCCTTCAGTATATGCAAAGTGTTCGTGGCGGCATAAGAGAGTCTTAGACACAGTGATTGGTATGTATTCGGTAGAGCCACGCTGCAGCTTTATTATAGGCATATTGCAGGCTCGACTGGGGAAGGACCACACTCTCACAGAATACAGGATCTCCGGTTCTCTACACTCACCATGGTTGTTACTTTTTTTTTATTGAACAACAGCTTTTCCCGCGGCTTCGTACACCTTTTTGTAAGTGGTTACTGCGACCCATAAACATCTAAATCTATCCTCAATAAAGACTCAAGATGCAGATGCGTTGTCACCCGTGAGGACTAAGTTGGAATGCCTCTTTGCCAGTAAAAAGGGTCACCGGTTCTCTACACTCACCATACGAAACACAGCAGCGTTAAGCTGCTATTTTACGCTGGTATTCTGTGAGAGCGTGGTCCTTCCCCGGTCGAGCCGACCCTTTCGTGATACTACTAATATAGCTGCAGCATGGCTCTACCACGTAAAAAAGGTTACAGTTACGCGGCTGCCATTCGAGAACTTTTCTTCTTCAACGTTTGTCGGTTCTCCGAGCTATATGGTATAGCCATTTTGGCTGACTATATAGCTCGAAGAACTGTTAAGCATGGCGAAAGCAAATTACCCCATCTATTAGATAGTCTTATCAAATACATCTACCAATTGAATAGAATCCTACTGTTCAAGTACGATTGGGTTACTCTGGTGACAATCGTGGTTGGTTTCGTTTTACCGCTTGATTTCGTTTAATAATGTCCTCCACACCGAATTTCGGTCATAGTAGCCATTCTCAAAAGAGACTAGCCATCTACGCAGGAGACAATTAAAGTGGCCGAGTGTATTTTTTTTTATAGAATAAGTGTGACAAACGAGCACACAGTCCATCTGATGGTAAGTGGTTGCTGCGGCCCATAGACATCTACTCGTGCATCTTACTTCGTTTGCGAATTAAAATGCAGATGCGTTGTCAGCCGTGAGGACTAAGATAGAATGCCTCTTATCCAGTAAAAAGGGTCTCCGGTTCTCTACACTCACAATACGAAACACAGCAGCATTATCTGCTATTTTACGCTGGTATTCTGTGTATGTGCAAACACCGGTGCACTCTCTGTTTCTTCACACTCATAGTCCGATAGAATGGCTTGCTGACTCCGGGATGCTACTGAGGATTTCTTGACAGTAAAACTAAATAATTTGGAATACCCAAAAGTGCACGCCTCATGAGCGTTTCATTTAATTTTGATGAAAATAAATAAAACCAGTGACGATAATTTTACAAAAAAAGAAAAAACAGAGAATCTGATCTACTTTCATTAATAACTTTAAAACGGTGTTGAGTTCAATAACAAACATAGAATACATCGAATCTTATTTAATACTATATACCTCAATCTATTACTTAGATTTCTATTAAGCGAGAAGACTCACAGACGCACAGACCAACGGACGGCAGTCCATATATTTTTTCAATTACATTTATTGTTATGTAATTCAAAGTGAATCAATTAGAAAATAAACTAATCTTATAATTCAATGTCTGTAGTTATTGTTACGCTAATAATAATATGGATTTAATGTTAAGCTAAAAGTATAAGAACGATTTTATGTAGCGAAATTGAGGTATGACCATATATCAAGAGTAGAGCACTCCCTTGAGTTGTGAGGCGTGCATTAACTGATTTTTAGCCCGACCAGGGATTCGAGCTCGGGACTTCATAATCAGCAGCCGCGTTTACGATTACAAGACCAACGGGGTATCGGTACTTATTATGAGCCGATGTATTTTTTATATTTATATTTTATTTCAGCTTGCAGAATATTATCACAATGAAAAAAGTATGTACATATATTTACGTACATATATTTCAGATTTAAAGATTCCCATTAAGCGTAACTATGAATTTGTGTTTCCCAAAAATAGGTTCACACTTTTATTAATTCTTCTGTTCATCATTCGCTCTATCCTCACTTTCATCCATCGGAGGACACGCAGAGGCGAGCGTCTTGGAATGCAAGTTTTTACAATGTTAATTATTTGGCCTAA